CCTAAGACCTATCAAGATGTTATCTTATAATCCTCATCCCTTCCCTGAGAATTTGTGAGAAAGCTATAATTATCCCTACTTTACAGATGCAGAAACTAAACTATTAGCTGAAACTGGCTGGATGGGTTTCAGTTTTGATACCTCTCTATATTAAATGGAGTAGACTAAGAAAAACCACCAGATAAGTTCTTACCTTTCTGAGAAATTGTCCTCTGAAATATAATCCTGGTTTTTATAGCATGCTCTCCCAAAGGATTTTTTTAAAAATCTATTTCCATTAAATCAAAAACTGCTAATCTACCTTACACTTCATATTATATGACAAAACAGAATATTACCCTGTTGCATATTTTAAAATTTGGAGTAATATTTATGGAATTGAAGGAAGACTAAAAAACGTTAGGAATGATGGGTAAGAATAGCATGCTATATATTCTGTTTGCCTCAGTGAATACTTTACCTACATGAAAATAGAGTTTGTCAACCAACTTTCCCAAATGTGCCCTCACATAGGACCAACATGGAAAGGTTGTGATACTCTGAGGTAATTCTTGCAGTTTACAGTGTAAGACAGTAGCCACCAAAAGGTCAGAACTCAGAGCTCTTGTTTTGTAATCTTGTACCTTTGTGTGTGGTGGTTTTTTGTGGGTTTTTTTTTTTTTTTTTGGCATGGCATGGCATTAGTTTTATACTCTTTTCTTATTAAATTAGATAATAAATTACATGTAGATGTATAATTCATCTTCTTTCTTGAAACTAATGGGCTGAAAAAATTTATTATTCCTTGGCATGTGACAGTTTTCCTGGCCCATGGAGGGTGAGACAACAGACTCATACCCCATCCCTAAAATTGAAGCTTTCCCTGATGTGTGTTTCCTTTCTCTGTTGTGTGAGTGGAGATGAGCTGAGAGGAACATATGAATGCTGAATGGCTGAGTGACGGGGGGATGCGGAGTGGCCCAGTGAGGGTGTCAATGCTGTGAGTGATCTTGGAAGGCCTCCTCCACTTACCTTCTCCAATCTTAATTATAACCTTCTATTTTTAGTAATTAAGTTTTTATTAGATTACCCTATTCTGCCTCTTTTCTGCTCATTATTGCTTCTTGCATGCAAAGGCATGACAAAATTGTCTGTGATCAGACCCCTCCACTGACTTCGTGCATCAGTCTCTGCTGCCTGATTAGTCTTTAATAAGTAGAGAGCGTCACCTTGTTTTCATATGACCATTCTAACCAAATATTTTATTTTGACAGTTATTCTTTTATAAAAAGCCATCCTTTTATTTCCAATAGTACTTATCAGGTTTTT